AGGGATTTGGATTCCTATATGTTAAAGTACTGCTCAGTAGTGGTGTTTTTTTTTTTTATGTAAACGCCACTAGGTTATATGATGATTGCGGCGTTTGGTATTAAAACGCCACTAAGTTGTAGGTCAATCGTGGCACTTACTGACAGCGTCGCCTTATATTGTTCAATAGCGGTGTTTTTATTTAAAAACGCCGCTAAGGTACCTACCTATTGCGGTGCTACTTCATAAACACCACTACTGATTTTATTTGGGATGCATTTCCTAAAGTACGAGTCTTTAGTGGTGTTTGTATAAAAATGCCACTAAAGTACGAGTCTATAGTGGCCCTGCATAAAAACACCACTAACGTATGAGTTTATAGTTGCGTTTGTATACAAAAGCCACTATAGTAAGAGTCTTTTGCGACGTTTGATCAAAAAATGCCGCTAAAAATGATGCTATACACCAAATGTCGCTTTTATTTTAAGTCTTTCATATTTTGGTCATTTGATTTGAAAAAAATGCATTTTAATCATTGCGACATTTGTATAAAAATGCATCTAAGGTACTACTCTATTGCGGTGTTTGTCGAAAAAAATACCACTATAGATAATCCTATTGGGGCATCTTATAAAAATGTCGATAAAGTACTACTTTATTGTGTCATTTTTTGAAAAAATGCCACTATATATTAACCCTATTACGACATTTGTATAACAACGTCGCTAAAGTATTACTCTGTTGCGATGTTTGTTGAAAAAATGCCACTATAGATTAACCCTATTACAACGTTTGTATAAAAACATCGCTAAATTTACCATTTTGTGGTGTTTAGAATGGAAACGACGTTATATGTTTAAAGTTAGTAACGTTTACTCTCAAAACGCCGCTAAAAATACCGTTTAAAGTTAGTAACATTTACTCTCAAAACGCCGCTAAAAATACCGTTGTAGAATAGTTTTGATGTAGTGATATAGTCTATGTTGCGGTATAAACAAATGAGTAAGAATGTTGTGGCAAAGTACTGAAGTGTGGATTGTGAAATGCTATAGCAAACAGTAAAGTAAAGTCAAAGAATTGCTATGACAAAATAAAGTTGAGCATTGGAGTATGAAATAAGATAACTTGACAATCTCTCACAAACAAGCTACAATAGGGATAAATGACTGGGTTTACTAAGAAATCCTATACCTTGTCTCTAGAATGGTTCACATTTTCCATGAGTATGTTGCTCGACAGGATTTACTAAAGTATTCCTAAGCTATCTCTAGTAAGGAACCTGACAGAGTAAATGCTATGGCAGTACCTCTCAGCGTAAATTGCAACATATTCCTATCGGTTAAGTTCTACCCCTTTTAGTAGTTGAGACCCTTTCCTTATCTCTAAGGCAAGTTAAAGCCTTACCATCCCAGCTTAGCTCCATTGTTCATGTCGATCTAACTTAACTCTCTCGATATTAGGCATCAAAACTTAGAAAATGCCTAACTCTCGAAAGCTCTTACAAGTCTAAGCTATTAACATTTAAACAATGAACAAAACAACATTTAAACATGGAAGCATAAACCATTCATTTAAAACAAAATATAATTTTCCAAAGCAAACCCACACCAAATAAGGTTAGTTCATGGTGGAGTACAAATCATCCATGGGAATAATCATTTGTTCCATTACAAAGGCCACAAATAAATATAAGTGAAAAACAACAAAGGAGAAGAGAACTCCCAAGTTTCACCGTGACCTTTCTTGAACCACCTTAGCAAGCTAGTTTCTCTCAAAGGCCTAACTTGCTACCTCCTTGGAGCTTAGTTATGGAGAACACCACAATAGGAGGAAGAAAATAAAGAAAAGAAAATAATGGAGCTCTTTGTTTTGCCTCTTTTTGTCATACAATTCTCTCTTCCTCTCTTATCTTATTTATACTAAAAAACTCTCCAACTTCCAAGAACTCTTAAATTCACAATAAAACACTCTAACTCCCAAGAGACTCTTTAATTCACAATAAAACACTCTAACTCCCAAAAGACTCTTAAATTCCCCCTTAAATATGAGATTTTAATTCCTTTTGTAACCTAAGGAAATATTCTCTTCATATTCTTGGGTTGAGCAGCTGGCATAGGAGGTTTCACATGTGGACAACTACAGCGATTAAAAATATCTTCGTATTTTTTGTCTTTTTTGCACCTATGAATGTCGTCTAAAATGTTGTAGCATTTCTCCAATTCTTCTTCAGTCCTTTAGCATCAGTTACTTGCACATCATCAACAAAACACGACCTTTCCCCTTACGCATCACCAATTTCAACAATAAAATGTTGTAGCAAAATTAAACCACCAAATGCAACTTCATAGACCTAAATGCAACTATATGTAGTTAAGTAGGCTTTTAAATAACTAATAACCTAAGTAAAGAACATAAAATATGATCTTTTTACGTAGTTATCATTAATTAATTAACTAATAATTTTCATCCAATAGGAGTTATTTTGACCAAAATTGTTAATTAACTAACAATGTGTATTTGATAATAATTATATTTTTAATCATCAAAATAATTACTTATTTCTCATATTTGATGACTTCATTTACATTTTTTAAAAATAAGGTTAATTTCATCCTTTCTTCAAACAACCTTCATTTCAAATTTGTCCCTAATTTTTTTAATATTCTAATTCATCCCTAAACTATTACTCGTTTTTTTTTTTTTGAAAAAGAGAAGTTTTGTTTTGGATTTATCAAGGTACCACATATAAAACAAAACAAAACAAAACACAATCATATGACTCGTTAAAAAAACTCCCTAGAACTAAATAGAGGAAAAAGAGTGTACTTATAACTTACAAAGAACCAAGAAAAAGTACAAATCCAAAACCACAACAATGATTAGATTCCGTAACCGAAACTCCACGTTTTGATAATTCCAGTAAAGATGGAAGTCTTTGGAGAGCCGCCTTCCAAACAAAAGCTTCTACTTTGAAAGGAGCAAGATTTACCCAAACAATTTTCCAAATACAATCTTCAACAAGACCATCGCAGGCAGCAGAAATACAGAACTCTTTGGGTGAATAAGAACCATTTACAGCCCCCGACCATTTTAATCGATCCAAACCAAACGCACTAGACACAGCACGGTTTATGCCATGCAGAAAAGTATTCCATAAGCTTATTTCCCGATCGAAAAGCGACCTTCTTACCTCAATGTTCCAAGACCAAACCCCATTAGAAACCGACTCTAACCTTTTAATGGCAATTCCAAAAATTCTAGGAAATACCTCTTTTAGAGAGGGAAACTCAGTCCAATGGTCCTCTAAAACTCAATCTTTCTCTCATCTTCCACAATGCAACTTAAGTGACGAGTGAGAATATCATCTTCCATAGACAACGGGGAAGTGATGTTTCTCCATAACCAAAAGGATTTACTCCTTTGAATTGGCCTTGGAAACAACGAATTTCTATCAAACCCATACTTGGCATAGATAACTCTTCTCCAAAAACAATTGGACTCGCTTCAGAATCTCCAAATCCACTTGTTTAGGAGCAGACAATTCTTGATTCTAACATCAAAAAATCCAAAACCACCATAGGATCTCGGCTTACAAACACTATCCCATTTTACCCAGTGGATTGATCTTCTTCCTTTTTCACTCCAAAGGAAATTGGCAATGCATTTGTTTATTTTATCTGCCATAGCTGCAGGCAACCAGAATAATGAAAGGCAGTACACCTGAAGGTTTGATAACACGGACTTAACCAAAGTTATACGACCATCGAAAGATAGAACTTTCCCCTTCCACCCATCAAGACAAGACTGAAGCTTCTCCAAAACAGGTTGCCATAATTCCTTAGAATTTCGAGACTGCCCCAAAGGAAGACCTAAATAAACAGTTGGGAAGGAATCCCGACGACAATCAATATTAACTGTTCTTTCCCTGATGCAACGTTCGTCTAGATTTACTTCGTAAAGATTAGTCTTTTTTAAATTAAGACTTAGTCTGACAGCAACCTCGAACACTCTTAAAACTCCCTTTTTGTTTCTAACCATCTCAGGACAAGCATCAGAAAACACGTCAGGTCGTCTGCGAATTGGATGTGAGAGATACACAAACCGGACACCCTTGAGAACTCCCACTTATTCTGCTTTGTGCAATAACCCGCTCAGAGGTTCACCGACTAAATTAAAAAGGAGTGGCGACAGAGGGCAACCTTGCCTTGCCTAAGGCCTCGCTTAATATTAAATCTGTTTGAGGGACACCTGTTCACTAACACCGCAATAGCAGGCGTCGAAATGCAAACATTGATCCAGCTTCTCCATTTCTTTCCAAAACACATCCTCTTCATGACAAAGTTCAAGAAGTTCCAGTAAACTGAATCATAGTAAATTAGTCCTTAAACTTTTGATCATTCTAATTTCATCCCTAAAATATGAATCTCTTTCTAAATTGATCCCAATTTTTTTAATATTCCAATTTCATTTTTAAATTCATCCAAATATATAATTAGTTTCAACCATGATATAGGTTAATTTTTGTTTTTTCAAACATATAATAATATAGATTGGTATAACGATTTTGTTAACATTGGATGTGATTAGTATATATATATAGTTTGAGATGAAATTGAAATGTTCAAAAAATTTGGGGACTAATTTATAATGAAGCTCATAGTTTGAAGGTGAAATTGAAATGCTCAAAAGTTTAAGAATTAATTTAGAATGATGGTCATAATTTAAAGATGAAACTGGAATATTTAAAGGTTTAGAGACCAATTTGAAATAAATGTTATAGACATCTCAATTTCTAGTATTCTACCATGCGTGTAGCACACTTTTTTTTTTATTATTACTAAATTTATCATTCCGATTCCTTAAATCATTGCAAGTTTGGTAGGCAAATAACCGGGGTTTTTTTTCTTCTTTTTCTCATTTGATCGATTTTTTTTTTTGTTTAATTAAGCATATTATCTTTAAATAAACATACAAATTTAAGAAATTAATGTACCAAGAGTAGAGAAAAAACTAACTCGATATATAAAATGACGAGAGAATATTGTCATTAAAATGATTGTAATTCATGCCCATTTTAACAGTGTAAAAAATTGTGAACAATAGAGAATTAGGAAAAAATATAATCTAAAATATAATCTGAAAAAAAAAATTGTGTGGTATGAATAAGTTAGAAACTGAGCTATTTTGAGTGAGAAGAGCCATATCCATATGGGTTTTTACTGGCCCAGTTCCATTGATCCCTGCATATCTCTTCAATGCCATACTTTGCTCTGTAAAGTCATAATTGAATAATATAAGACAACTATACAAGGTCCCCAAAATTTATACTGTAAGGGACCCTTACTTCCATTTCAGTTCAGTCTCGGCCTTTTTGGTTGAAGCATAAACGACTTCGGCATCACCAGGCCGACGTCCAACTATTTTAAGAGGGATTTTCTGATAAAAGTGACAAATTTGGGATGTTAAAACTAAAATAGCAAGACCAACCAATATGTACAACTCTGTTTAAAATTACAAAACACACGCTAGCCAGAACAACGATACCTTGCCGGATGCCTTTTCAAATGCAGAAACCATCTCCAAAACCGATGTTCCCTTTCCTGTTCCCAAGTTGTAAACCTCACAACCTGTAGCAACATGGGCAATCAGTACCAATTCTACTGAATTCTAGCTTCAATGTTATGCTATATGCACGTTCGTGTATCATATATATCAATAGAAAAACAGTTGCACCGGTAAACAATATAAATAGAATGCATATATATACCTATTTTTGGATCAGATAGTTTTTTTAATGCCGCGATGTGGCCATCTGCTAAGTCAACAACATGGATGTAATCACGAACCTGAAAAGATACAAGAAATGGCACTTTGTCACAAGTGATCATAACATTGAACCCAGATTTACTAACAAATATAGATGTTTAAGTTACAAAAAGAACCTTATCAAAGCTACTGTGAAAAATAATCCAAAAGTCCTGAAGATTATTTGGCTAAATTACAAATTCTGTAAGGCACACACTTTAAATACAAGGACGAATGGGTTAAAGGAATGATGTGACAAGTGACAAATGGGAATCTGTGAATATTTGGTAGCAAAGTGGCACTGCACAGAACATGTATCAATCCTAAACTGGGCATCCACATCTAGAATAGCTGCTAGACTGAAGATGCATGCATTCCAAATGTTAAGGATAAAGATTAAGTATAGACAATACATGGACATGTTCGGAGTTAAACAATATCAAGCTTAATTAACAAAGAAAGTCGTAAATAAAAGCTCAATAGAATTCAAAATCATATCACAGTTCATAGACATCTTCAAAACCAATTCTGAAATATGAAATAAGATTCATTGGAACCCAACACCTTGTCATTCCAACAAAAACTTACCCCGGTACCATCCTTTGTTGAATAATCATTTCCAAACACTGTCAGTGCTGATCGCCTCCCAACAGCAACTTGTTGCACAAAAGGCATAAGATTGTTTGGAGTACCCCGGGGATCCTCACCTATGTGGCCGCTGGGATGTGCGCCAACTGGATTAAAATATCTTAATAGTATGATCTTCCACTTAGAATCAGAACTATGAAGATCACGGCAGATCTCTTCAACGAAAAGCTGACCAATCATGTCAGATATGATTAGATGACACTACGGGAGAAAATGCCCAAATATTATTAGAAAAAAAGTAAAAGTATAATAGTTCCTTTATTCATACTGCTTCACTGAGCTGATAAATAATACGCACTCAAGAAAAGTTCATTGAATACCTTGGTTCGTCCATATGGATTCACTGCAGTCAGCGGGAACTCTTCTGTACATGGAACCTCCTTTGGCCAGCCATAAACAGTGGCAGATGATGAAAAGATGAGCTGAAATATATCATATTAGATTGGTCAACTTCTAAGACTCAAGAAGACAATACAATTCATAACTCATGAACTATTCAAATTCATAAACAGACTCTAGATTTAACAGGATCTTATTTTCTTAAATTACACTCTGAAGTTGCACAAACTATATTGGAATTGATCAAGAAGGGGAAAAAAATATGTTCTCTTTATCTCTAGTGCTAATGATTTCCATAGAGGATGCAAAACAAAAAAAAGGCAGAACAAAAAGGGAAAGAAATGTACATTTTTACATCCCTGGGCAGACATCACTTCCAACAGGATAATTGTCCCTACGACATTGTTGTCATGATAGAGCAGTGGTTTACTTACACTTTCACCAACTGCTTTTAGTCCAGCAAAGTGAATCACAGCTTCAAACCTGATAATTTAATAACCTTAGAAATTGATCAAGTGGAGAAGCACAATAAAAACCAGCATATAAATTCCTGAGAGTACTTTGTCTGAGCAAAAATTTTTTCGATAGCTGGTCTATCCCGAAGGTCCACCTGCAGTTGAAAAGCAGTGGTCCAAACTTTAGCTCAGTCATAAATTTATGTTCAAATAAATCTTTGACACAAATAAATACTTCAATGAATTAAATGTTTCTTGTATACAACAATTTTGGGACAATTTATACATCGGCACATGATGGATTTTTTTGGCAAAATAAGACGAACTCCCATGCATATTAATATAAGCAAAAGCATAATAATAGTGACACTTCAACTGCTAGTTTCCAGATGATTAAAAGTTAACCATTAATTACCAAAGAAAATTTTATGTTTAAAGCTTTTAAATATCATCAAGACAAACAATTAACTAGATTCAAACATTCCAAATATAAGGAGTGCATCCCTGTAAAAAAGTGTAAAGTACAGATCAAAGATACAATGAATAAAACACTATTTTGGGTACCGACAAAATGAAAATAATACTATTAGATAATAAAAAAAACACTATTTATTATTTTGTTTTTACATTTAAGGAACCTTCAGCTGATAACCCAGTAAATCTGTTTAATGTAGCTCACTCAATTGAGCAATTTCTGATAAATTTTTCAAAGCAGTTATAAATCATTATCATAGTTCAATGGAGACAAAGCTAAAAACATTTTTAATTCAATTGATTAATCGCTTCATTAATCAAAATTAAACCTTCAAAAAGAACACACCAAAATATAAAAGAAAATAAAAATGTGAAAATCAAATCTACTATTCGCAATTATTTCAGCAGTTTTTCATCTACAAAGAATCCAGCATGATATCACCCAATTTTAGAACACAACACGTTGCCAGCTATAGCAATTCAATTAATCAAATTTAAACCAATTAGACTCCAAATTAGCAACGAAAACCCTAAGATTAAAATCGCATTAAAATAATCAGAAAACTTCACCTCCATACATCCATTTTTAATTTCTTAAAAAAAAAGACCGGTGAATTGAAGCGTTAAACGAACCTGATGAAAAGAAAGGTTGTTGGCGTATTCACGGGCGAGTTCTTTGACTCTTTTGATGGAAACATCGGAGGAATTGTCGAGATTATCGACAACCACCGCTTTGTAACCGCCTAAGAGCAACTGCAACACCGTGTGGCTCCCAATATAACCGGCTCCGCCGGTCACCAGAATAATCTTGGACATATTCGATCCAATCAAACCCAAAATAATAAAAAAAACAGAGAAAAAGAATTAAAAAAAACCAAAAGAGAAGAAAGAAACTGAGGGAAAGGAGAGTAACAGAAGGGTTAATTCTTGGGGAATTAAATGAGATTTATGAAAGGGCAGTCTGAGTACGGAGAATTATTGCAAAAAGAGGGAGAAAATATGAACGACCCAAAAAAAGGTTTTGTTTCTGCAAGATCTGGAAAAAGAAGAAGAGTTTTGAGTATATGAGAGGATTGCTCACGTGGATTGAATTTTGTATATTTATTGACTCCACATGACGTGGCATTTTTGGATCTTCTTCGCCTGCTTTGCCAAGGGATATTCTTTCTCCACTCCTTATTTATATGATTTCTATTTCCCAGAAAACACGATGAAAGTTTTTTACTCCTTTATCTTCGGATTTTTTTATTATAATTTTCATTGCTTTATAGGTAAAATACTCAAATCATCTCTCAATTTTAAGATATTATTTTATTAAATCTTCCGACTATTAAAATTTACAAAATAGTATTCTCCACTATAGGAAGTTATTTTGTTAAGTATCTCTACTATTAAAATTTATAAAATGGTCACCCGACTATTCATTATGTTCCAGACTTATCATTTTTCGTTAAAAAATTATCGGTCATCTGAGTTGCATGTTAACATACTGACTTATATATGATAATCTTTTGAGATTATGAGATCAGATTTTATCATATTTCAGTCAATATGTTAACGTTAATCTTAGATTGTCTTTAATTTTTTAATGAAAAATGACGAGTTTGAAACATAATGAATAGTCGGATGATCATTTGTTAACTTTTAACAATCTATGGACTCAACAAAGTAACTTCTATAACCAGAGATTATTTTATGATTTTTTAATAATCGAGAGACTTAACAAAATAATAATCTATAGTCAAGAAATTATTTGTGTACTTTACCCTTTATTTATTTTATTTTATTTTATTTCATTCAAGCTTTTAACTTATTATAAGTTTTCTAATGATTAAATTTATCACCTAAGTTATGTTGTGAGTACGGGTTAAAAATTTATCGGTATAATAATAAATTTGTTTTTAACATATCATTTTATTTTTATTTTTTTAGAGTATTTTAGTTTTAATATTTTAATTTTAAATCGAAAAAATATTAATTGACTAATGATTAATATATGTTATTAATTTGACATATTACATCATTATTTTAGGTAACGTGACACATATCACATCATCAACTAAATACATATGAAAATATCGCATCTGTAACATGTGTTAACTGTTAGTCATTTAACGATTTCCTTCCAATAAGAAATATCTTTACCAAAAATTAAAATGTCAAAATGCTAAACTATTCTAGAAAATATGAACTAAAATGACCATTTTATATAAACATCAATAATAATTTGGTCATTTATGTTAATTTTTTGGCGTTTCTCCCGAAATATCACCCTAACCCTATATATTTTCCTGTCAGACACCGTTCAGATTATATTTTTTAATCTAACACCCTTTGTAGGAAGGCGCACCCCCTGCACCGCGCTTTACGCCACGTGGTCCAAGGTGCGCCCCGGGGGGCTCCTTACCAAATGTGTAAAAAAACCGGATGCTAGTTTTGTAAATATTTTTAAACGGGTGTCAAATACGTCATTAATTTCTATTATGGTGACGCCGCACGGTTCCAGGTTGTTAACTGGTTGGGGTTTTAATGAAGTGGACAGTGTGTGTAGTGGTTGAGTTTATTAGTATTTTAGTGTTACAAGTTTATTATTTATAATAATAAATTTTTTATAATTTAAAAAATTATAAATTTCATATATTTTGAAAAAAGTATTTTCTTTTAAAATTAATTGTTAAAAAATATAAAATATTAAAATAAACTTTTAATTACAATTAAGTGATCAAATGAATTATTATTCATTAATTTTTATTTTTTAGCAACAGTTAATAATGTTTATTTATTTTTAATAAAATTATTTTGATTTTTGCATTAAAATTACACAATACGTATAATCTAGTATAAGAAAACTTTGAGGGTAAGTATTTTAAAATATGAATAATTTTATAAAAGTTTTATAACTAGTATTTCTTTTACAAAATGATGATGATGATGATAAATATTTTATAATTTTAAAAATTATAAATTTCATATATTTTTTGAAAAAATTATTACCTTTTAAAATTAATTGTTTAAAAATATAAAAAAAGTATTAAAATAAACTTTTAATTACAATTGAGGGATCAAATGAATTATTATTCATTAATTTTTAATTTTTAACAACAGTTAACAATGTTTATTCATTTTTAATAAAATTATTTAAATTTTTGCATTAAAATTACACAATACTTATAATCTAGTATATAAAAACTTTGAGGGTAAATATTTTAAAATATGAATAATTTTATAAAAGTTTTATAACTAGTATTTATTTTACAAAATGATGATGATGATGATAAATATTTTATAATTTAAAAAATTATAAAATTCATATATTTTTGAAAAAATTATTGCCTTTTAAAATTAATTGTTTAAAAATATAAAAAATATTAAAATAAACTTTTAATTACAATTTAGGGATTAAATGAATTATTATTCAATAATTTTTTCAAAATATATGAAATTTATAATTTTGAAATTATAAAAAAATTATTATTATAAAAAATAAACTTGTGTCACTAAAATACTAATAAACTCAACCACTATACATACTGTCCACTTCATTAACTTCTGACAAGACTCCAGCCAGTTCACAACCTAGAACCGTGCGGTGGTGGGGGTGTCTGCACAATTCAAAATGTTGACGTTTTTACACAAATGTCACCATAATATAAATTAATGACTTATTTGACACCCGTTTAAAAATATTTACAAAATTAACACCCGGGTTTTTTACACATTTGGTAAGGTGCACCCCTTCGACCACGTGACGTGAAGCGCGGTGCAGGGGGCGCCTTCCTGCAAAGGGTGTTAGATCGAAAAATATAGTCTGAACGATGCCTGATCGAGAATATTAAATGAAAAATGTGATTTTTCAGGATAAACGCCTAATTTTTTATTTGTGAGATATATATGTACATATTTGATAAAAAAAATTGGTAGGAAGATTAACTCAGGTAACAGACGCTTACCATAAAAAAATTGTAGGGTAAACTACATGTTTAGTATTTAAATTATTACTTTTGTTTCATTTTGATACCTAAATTTTCATTTTTTAAATCATACATAACATTTACTTTTTATTTCGTTTCAGTACCCCACTATTAAAAACTTAACGGTACTGTTGTACGTGATATATCTTTTATGGATAAGTTATATCATTCATCACTCAACTATCTTCTAATTTCTATTTTGGTTATTGAAGTTTATTTTTTTAATTTAATTACTTAACTTTCAAATTGCTCTAATTTAATCATAATAATTCCAAGTCAGAAAAATCATTAATAAAATAAACTAGAGTGATTAAAACATAAACAATTTAAAAGTTAAGAAGTTAAATTTAAAAAATTTAAACTTTAGAGATCAAAATAAAAACCAGAAGATTGTTAAGTGACGACTGATGTAATTTACTCATAAAAATGCTACCTATAAAAGTTTGTTTTCAACGGGGAGGAACCAAAATAAACCTAAACTAAACTCTAAATATGACTTTGAAACAAAATAAAGTTTAGGTGTCAAAACGAAACAAAAATAATACTTTAGACACTAAATACTAAATTATATTTGATAAATAACGATATTAATGATTTTATTAAAATAAAATAAAACTTATATTTACAACTGTACAAATCATGTCATTCATGTATCTATCGAAGTTGATGTATGACTTGGAAATTTAATATTTATTATTTGTAGGAGTCACTAGCACCGACAAAAAGTTGCGGATAAAAGTTTAATATCTTTCCCTTTCTCATTGTAATTTTCTCATAAATATATATAATTTCATCTTGTTTTTGCTTCTTCTTAGCTTCACCATCATTAAATTATATATATATATATACTTTTTATTTATATTCTGTATAAAATTCGATTCTTTGTGTTAGTATACGACAGAACCCGACATCTCTTACAATTTTCCTCCCTTCTCAGATCCAATCCTTTTTCTGTCTCCCAACCTGGTAAGCTTTTAGATTACCATTTTTTAGTATTTTGATCTCAAAATTTTGATTTTTCTTCTCGTTTTGCTAATTGGGTATTTCCCTGTTTTATGGATTTTCTTTATTTATAGTCAAGCACAGTCAAAATCTTTTGTTTTTGTGTTTGATTTGTACTTTTGCATATTTGTAGAGATTTTGTGAGTTGGGTTTAGCTTATTCTTTGATGCTTTGTTTGAAATTTGTGTTAATGGATTTGCTCACTTGCTTGTCAGTTTTACTTTGAGTAAGATCTACTGGATCTGTATTTTTTTTCATTGTCCTAGACTCCTAGTATCTTATATCATTATCGATATTTAAGTAAGATATAAATAAATTCAATCTTTGGTTTCTAGTTGTTGGCTTTAAGTTAAGTAAGATAGTGTTAATTTGTCTTAAAATCCTATTAAGTAACCAACCAGGCTTCTCAGTACCCCTAAATTCTTTAGCGTTTTATTGGTGCATCTTCTGTCTTCTTTGGATTCCTTTTTCATAGTTCCTCATAGCTTCGGCTATAGATGATTACTTGAGGTCATGTCCTTCTTTTAGATCTCATAGGGTGTATAAGGGGAGGGCTTGACAGAGTATTGGAGACTAGACTTAGAGTTTGTTCGTTGAATGTAGGAACATTAAATGCTAGGCTGCTGGAGCTGACCGACGTACTTAGTAATAGGAAAATAGATTTTGCATGTATTCATGAGACTAGGTGGAAAGGGGCTTGCGCCAGAGAGTGTAATGGGTACAAGTTGTGGTATTCAGGCGTAGATAACGCTAGAAATGGGGTGGGTATCTTGGAATCTCTAGGCTCAAGGAAATGTAGTTGAAGTTTGTAGATATCGGGATAGGATCATGATGATTAAGGTTATTATAGAAGCGGAAGTGGCGAATGTCCTTTCAGTGTACGCCCCATACGTTAGCCTAGGGGAGGGGAGAAACATTTCTTCTGGGATCAGTTAGATGATGTACATAGGAGCATTCCGGAGGACCAAAGAGTTTTCATAGGGGGAGACTTCAATGGCCATATAGGTA